AAAAAAAAAAAAAAAAAAACACTTCAGGCTTGATCAAGTCATATTCACCTTTGTAAAAGACTTAAGAAAATCAATATCTGAATCAAATCTATAGCTTATCAGTATTAATAAAATAGACCACAGAGAAGAGCACATAGTAGGAGTCAGACCACACCATGGAATTCGTACCAAGTTCATATCCGAAAATTTGGACAGTGCAAATAGTTTAGACTTTGGAGTATGACAAGATTCTGTCCCCTTGTCCGATTTGTTATTCCAAAGACCGGCCAAAATAGAATGAATTACAAATTCCTCGAATTTAGTAGAAACAAATGGTCAAGAAACAGAATATGCGATGCAAACTTAAGTCTCAAAAAATTTGTTAATCATGCATCATCTAATGAGAAGATAAAAACTTTCACACAGTTTACATGCTACTGAGTAAGCTAAAAACCTGGGCCATAGGGTTCTCATGCAGAAACCTAAACGCCATAATAGCAGGGGCTGGCACAGCAACATCACTGGAAACACAAGCTTTGACGTCGTCATCCTGTTTGTTTGTTAGAGACATGATACAGTCATTCTCTGATCCAACTGAACTCTTGCAGCCGACTGAATTGGGAGACGACAAATAGGCACTGAAATTTAGAAAATTTTGCAATTGTTAGAGGACGCAAAATCACAAACAATTTGTTGAAACTCTGGCCAGCGAAAATGACAGCCAAAAATTACAATGCACCGAATATACTTGCTTCTAAAAGATGTTCGTCTATTCCAGTACAACTTAGATTTACACAATTACGTGTCACCAAATATCCATTGTACGTTTGGATACAATGGAGTAAATATTCGATTCAAAATTCCACCTTCTAACTAAACTAAGAAATATTCTGATATTATTGCACAGCAAAACCATCTATTTGGATACAATGGAGTATTATTTGATTCAAAATGCCACCTTCTAACTAATCTACGAAATATACTAATATTATTGTACAGCAAACGTTTTGACAACTTCGAATCTTGATTCCACAAACACTAATACCACATAACTTTGTTTAATCTCTTATTGAGCCCGTTGGTAACAGAACATATTTGTTCACATCAAACAAATGATAAATAAATTTGGAAAATTTGTCCGAAATTAAAATAAGGGACTATCAAAATTACTTGTCAAGTGCGACTGTAAGTTCAGAAGTGGCCTCCTTGGCTTCCTGAAGACTCGGCACACCACCAAAGACAACCCTCGGAAGCGGCTCACCGCCGCTAGGAAGATCATCCTTCTCTCCGCCGGCGAACACCCAATCGTCGATCCCCGAACAGGGCCTTTGCACTCCTGCCTCCGCCACGAGATTCACGTCCTCCACCGTCGTCGCCGCAGGAAAAACCGAGCTAGCTTTTCGTGCGGCGGACAACGGGAAGCGCTCCGCCGCGATGCCACGGATAGACCCGGTAGTCGCGGCAATTCCGGCTAGCTTCGACGCTGCCCTGAAAGCTCCTCCTCCCATATTTTGGATCGGGTAATTGACAAAGGAGGATACAAGATAAGAACGAAATATCGAAAGATATGAACTTGATCGCAATTTATTCTCTTTCCAAGTTCCAACATTATCTATCTATATTTAATAAGGCTAGCACAGCAAGACGGACCGGAACGGGCCGGCAATAGGTACGGGCCGTTCATTGAAAAGCGATTCCGGGTTTAGAATTGGCCCAACGGGCCCAAATCCAGTTCGATTCAAACCAGCAGGCATTTACATTTTTTTTAAGAAATTGTGTGGGTGATTAAAAAAAAAATAGACTTGAGTTTCGACGACATATAACAAATAAAAATATTAATCAAGATAGAATATTTTTAGTTAAGAAAAAATTAATTATAATATGCAAATTAAGTTGACTAGGTATTATTTACCTAGAGAATAAAAGTCATCATAATTCGTTTACCTTAAACTTTGATAAAAGAAGATGACATGATGCCGCGACAATCTAGTAATTGTAGGCGTACTCGTACTTGTTATCTTCGGTATTTTTGCTGATTCCACTAGTAACAGTAATGTCACTCGGCTTTTCGCCATCCTCTTCAGTTAGCATAGTCGTTTGTGCCCTTCTTTTGGCCTTCTTCCAGTCACTCGACAATATTTGAGCCTCTCAACTTTGTGGCGTCAACCTTGTCCGTCGTGCGTCCAAAGTATATTATCCCTCGCTAAGTACTTGTTCAACCATTACAGTTGAAGTTGGGACAACAAAAATATCCTTGGCCATCAAACATGGGAAGTGGGAGTTGGTACATAAGTTCATAATATGTGTGGAGTTGGTTGAACGACCCACTTTCACGTAGAGACGAAGATGGTATCTCGTAAAGACTTCCGACGGGCTGGAATCGGCCTGCTCTTGAGCTCTTTCATTGGTTGAACGCCTTTCTACTTGTTGAACTCTCACAACGAAGGGGTTTTTTGGTGATGAACTTCACTTTCTTATATAGGGAGATGATACCTTGTTGCCCTAGTCTGCCCGTGTGGGCTGTCTAGACTGCCCGTTCATACGATTCTGTTATGCAACGTGACCTTTCTTATCCTTTAGTTTTCTTCATTAGATGGTCTAAGCATACAACCGAACCTGATTACGTAGAGGTAGAGTACCATCGATGTCTAGTCTTGCTATTACGTCCATCTGGTCGATCCTTCAACCAGATGCTTATTCAGGTCGAACATCAATCACTCCAATCAAGGACTCTAATTAGGCCTGTTGGTATCTTCGGTGTTCTTGCCTCTTCTTTGACCTGGAGCTCCTTCGACCTATGAAGTCATCATTCTCCATTCGACTTGGTGGCTAGCCTAGATCGGTTTGGTTTCTTCTTCGGTCTAATCGACCTGATTTAGTTATCCCATATCAGGATCTAACGAAATCTAAATTAAAAACGTAGTGAGAATGTAAAATAATATTTTAATCATTTTCTTAACATATATTTTACGAGTTCAACATGTTTATATGGATCACTAGCAAAAATATCTCTAAATCCCTACATTACAGCTGCACATTAGATAATGACAAGTTGAGCAGTAGGATAGTAAACAACAAAAAGTACACTTAATAATTGTATAAAAGTTCAACATTTTTCTAAATTCTCATAAGTTGGAGCAATATTGCAATCACGACACTCAAGGTTCTTGAAAAAAGTCATGGACAAATTCACACGTTTTTGTTAAAATATTAATAAAAGTTAAAACAAATTATTTAGACGAAAAATTAATTAATATTTTATATAAATACCAAGCCTTTTCTTATAATGATAAAATATAAATACGCTAGTCAAGATAAAAACTAGCCTTTCCACCCAAGTAAAAATCCGATATTCAAGGACCTTAATAATTACTATACCTGCATACACAATAAATACGCTAATCAATTCCCTAGGGATTTACTCTTGTTTCTTCCCATCAAAAGAAAAGTTTTGTAGGTTAATTTTACGCATGGCGACAGGTACAGTTCTTCCGTCTGCATACGACGCCTTCATTGCCGGCAGAAAAAGAGCCCACAGATCCAAAGGGCCCAAAGGCGTCAACATCAAGAAAGCCGAACAGCACGACGAAGACGATCGGCGTCTCGATGTCACCACCGACTGCGGAATAAAGAAGAGAAGGTTGTTAGGCTGTCCCGACGCCGCCGGCACCGCCAAGAAGTCAAGTAGGACCACAAGTTCGGGTTCGTCTTCCTGGTACGGAACAATACACGACTACGAGTGTCTGGACATGATCAGCCAGGGCGCCTACGGCGCCGTCTACAGAGCACGCCACAAAAAGACCCGCGAGATTGTGGCCGTTAAAAAAGAGTTTGGCGGGTTATGCGAGTCGACACTAACCGAAATAAGCATCCTCCGCTCCATCCGCCACCCGTCGGTCGTCGAGTACAAGCAGGTGGTCGTCGATGACCTCGACGGGATTTACGTGGTGATGGAGTACATGGAATACGATCTCCACGAATACCTGAAGAAGAACCCCTCGATCGATCTTCCCCAAGTCAAACGCTTGATGAAGGAGCTGCTCGAGGGAGTCCACCACCTTCACGAGAAGGAAGTCATGCACAGGGACCTCAAGCCGTCAAACCTCCTCGTAAACGCGGAGGAGCCGGGCAAGCTCAAGATCTGCGATTTCGGGTTGTCGAGTCGGTTCGAGGACAAGCCCTGCACGCCTAACGTTGGGACGCTATGGTACAGGGCGCCCGAGCTGTTCCTCGGGGCCCACGCGTATCTGCCTGCTGTCGACATGTGGTCGGTCGGGTGCATCATGGCAGAGTTCTTCTTGGGAAAAGTGCTCTTCAGAGGGGAGTCTGAAATCGAGCAGCTTCAGATCATAGTGACTAATCTGGAGCAGCCACACTGTGTGCTGCAACACAAGTTTGCTGCTGCCGCTGCTGCCAACCCTTTGAAAGGGGGGCCGTTGCTCACGGAAAGTGGATTCGAGCTGCTGTCGAGCCTTTTGACGTACAGTCCACAAGAGAGAATAACGGCTCGAGAAGCTCTAGGCCATCGGTGGTTCCAAGAGTGAATATTATTCTTTGTTTATGAAATGGATGTCTTGTGTTGTAACCAAATTGAGATAATTAGCTTTTTCCTTCTTCGATCGGATACTGCCTTTAGTCATTGTTGCTCTAAATGTTTCATTGTGCATGAATGATCTCTGTCGTGATGGACCTAATTGTTTCTTCAGCTCCACTCAACAGCTCGTTTTCGATGTTTTCGATGTTTTCGATGTTTTCGATTTTAACATAGTGCCAAAACCCATACATAATACAGAAATCTGAAACACCTTTAAAGTCAGAGCATCAGTAGAATTCAGCAACAATCAACAAACAATGAATAGTTTAGTTGCAGTCTCATATTTATTTGCACGACTAAGCTAGTTTCTTACCCCTAGCTGGTAAGTTCTTTCATTTTTATTCAAAGTTCGAACCATATGCAAAGAAATTGGCTAAGAACGTATCTGATCCCGAGCAATTCATTTAAAGTGCATGTGGAACCGAGAAATGAATTGTTACTACTACTATGAGGTAAATATGAAGATATATCGACTTGTATGTACTGCAGCTTTATGGGAAGAAGAATAAGCTGATTTTCAAATTTGAGGAATAAATTTTGTAATACAAACATGAAACAACTATAACAGAATGCCTGACTGATGTGAATATCCAGAAAGAAATATTCATGTGATTATCCTCCTTCAAACCCCCACAAAAACAAACATAAACAAGCAAACAAAACCTTTACTCGACTATTAAACAGAATGCCCGACTGATGTGAGCTCAACAATCTAAGACCGATTGGTGTGCCTTTGGAAGCACATACATTCTGAACGGGAAGTAACAATGCCGGTAATCTCAACAGCAAATCAGCAAGTCGTGGAACCACTTGTCGAAACCATTTTTTAGCCTCATCCTTATTCATCAACTAGAAGTAACAACAACAACAACAACAAACAACTCTTTTAAAGAGATGCACACAATTTTCCCGGGTCCTTAGGAAGTCACAGCCAATAAAACTGCGTAGAAAAACGTGCCGATAAAACTTCATATTTAAGACTCTCAAGTTCAGGAATGTAGATTTGAGTCAGTAAAGAGGGGTAAACATAAAACTCGAATAACCATTTTGCATTATTGTTCAAGAATCAAAAGGAAGTTCCATTCTGCACTAGCCAGCAACTATTCGTGCCCAACGCAGTAAAACATATAAAATTGGTCCAGTCTCTGACTATCAAAATTCACTTTGTTAGTTATGATATCACTTAGAATGAATCTCCACAGAAAAACCAGTAAGAAGTAGAACCAGCCAACAGTGATTTTAACACAAATGATTGGAAAAACAAATGCACTGTGCATCCCCAAATACCGTCCGGAC